GTACTCCAGTCATGGACACCCCATAAAAACTTTTCTGGATGCGCCACTGGTGAGTTCCTTCTGTTCGTTGAAACGAGAAGATATCATTCCCCGTTCTACCTGCTTATCGTCGGGGCATGGCAAGAAAGGTGGTGAGAAATTTAGCCAATCGTGGACGATGCCACAAATCTGTCGTAAAATCAAAATTCGCTAAATAGTTTTATAAGTAGAAACGTTCTCCTTCGGGATATGACGTACCATCACTCAGCTGAGCTGATAAGCTTCCTCGCCCTTTCGCCCGAGGATCCTTCATTCTTTTCCTCCTGCATCTCTCTCTTTCTAGCGATTCTAGAAGGGGAAGGGGGGGGGGGGGGGGGGGAGCTCCGCTTCCACCGTGCGTGTTCGGACGAGGAGCAGGCCGCGCCTCATTAAAAACTTCAAAGTTTCGCGAGTTTCACTCTTACTCGGAAAAGTTCTGCAGTCGGAAGAAGCCTTCCTTTCCTTTCTAATAATATGGCTGAGGTGTCATATCAGTGACCTAAGCGATTCAAACGAGCCTCTTTCCTCGGCTTCATGATGTTTTCAAGAACGAGAGGTTCCATGTGAAGCCTTATTCAGATAGATTGATCTAGTAATTTTAGGGGAAGTCCTCAAAGGGGAGAAGATTTACTTAAGAATAAATTGACTTCAGCCTGTGGGAACCTCCCCTAAAACTCGTTATATAAAATCATTAGCGACTGACTCATCATAACCACCTTATGACTTATGACTGATCATAAAAACCTCGATCATAACCACCTTGCGGTGGTTATGATCGAGACTGGTGGCAGTTTAATTAACACTCGTTTCTCTGCTCACTGCCAGCTCCTGATTAGATCAGTTGGTAGAGTGCTCCGCTATAGGCAACCTGCAATGCTGTTTGGTTTGGCGCCATCTAGCGACTGAAGCAAGAAATATTGGGTACCCCTGGGAGTGGCGGCTGCATTGTTCAAACGTGAGCTATTACTCTGGTGGCGCCGCTTAGCCTAGTGTCTGAAGCAAGAAATACTGGGTATCCCAGGAAGCCGTGGTCGCGTAACGTGCCAGTAGAGCGGAAGCTACGGCCCTGGCGGGCCAATCGGAACGTGACTGCGCATCACCGGAGCGCGCCTCAACTCCGGAGAAGTATCAGGCTTTTCGCTGCGTCATTCTCCAATGTGTGTGCGTTGCGTCGCGCATTTTGAAGCCTTCGGCACGCAATGTGGGGCTTATCGTTCGCCGTTTGCCAAGTTACTACGAGGCAGGGTATAACCGTGCGCTCTCACCCTGCTGGCGCCGCCTGGCCGTTGCCGGCTGGCTATAGTCGGTGACAGGTCACGAACGAAGTGGAAGCTCCTCCCCCCTCTTTCCACTTCAGCAGAGCGAATGGTGGAGAGGAGCTCGCCTCCTCTCCAGCGTTCACACTACTAAAGTGGGAAGAGGGGAGAGGAGCTTCCACTTCGCCCACTTTCTCCCGCGGCCTTTCTGCCATTATGCCTGATCAACTGTCGTCCGTGCAAGCTATGAATAGGTACCGTTGCCAGCATTCCTCTAAGCACGGCGGGCACTGTGCTGCATGTTTTGTTGTGGCATTTCCCCCACCCCCACCTTGTTTTGTCACTAATCTCGTATGAAGGTACCCAGACTGGTAACGTCGTCGAACAGACGGAGCGTCACGCCATGTGCGAATTAAAGCGTTGCAGTAGCATTGCGCAATAAATAGCCGATAAACAGTGACTGGCTGGCTCCTCGCCTCATTTGTATCAGTGTGTACTGAAGGTGCCACCTGTATAGGCGGGGAAACGTCCACACTTTTGTTGGTGTATTGCTGGTGCTGCAAAGACGACCGCGTCACCCCCCCCCCCCCCCCCAAAAAAAAAAAAAAGAAAAGAAAGAAAGAAAAAGAAAATGACTGCGTTATGGTTTTGCTTAGGCCCTTTCTGCACGTCATCTTCGTGTTCCTTTGACACAAACCGAAGTGACGAGTACGACTTTCGAAAGCGCTAAGCCCAAAATGATTCGTGAATTTGCGATCTACTCTTTGGGTCTTTCATCTGATGCGTGTCGGAGAAGAAAGGTTTGAGGTCGGCTATGATTCGCTGCTGCTGTTTATGAAACATTTTTTTCTTTTCCCCGAAGACGTCCGTCTCTCGGTCGGAACGGTTCATCTGGGTCGCTAAACTCGTCGAGCACAACTTTGATCAAATACTTTACTAGGGGGAATACATTCCACTCTGCTCATTTGCATTAGACCTGGCGTCAGGGCTGGATTCGGCGCCTACAGCGCCGAATCCAGCCCTGACGGAGGGGAGGTCCGCGTCAGTTCACGCGCATGTGCACGTGGATATTCGCGGCGGCCGCGGTGTTGTCGTCTCCGATTCCACCGAAAGCCCCTCCATGTTTCAAAAGTAGGGCAAGATGCGTCGATCCACGAGGCACGTGTATCGTGCATCGTGCAATCCTTGGGAAGATCATGGCGGCACAGCGCAGCAAACTATTTGGCGCAGCTACACTATATAAAAATATGTCTTTAGTGTGATATAAGGTCTCCGACCCTATAGTCAGTGGCTAAGAGTACAGGGCGATTGAAAGGAAGGCTGGGGAAGAGGATGCAGATTGATTGCTGGAGAGGAGAGAAGGAAACATCCCCATCGCTCCAGCATTCCGCCTGCTTCCTTCTTCCCAGCCTTTCCTTCCCTCGCTCAGTGCGGCGCTGTAGCGCCGCACTGAGCTAGATTTTAGACGCCATGTTCTTCCTAGAACTGGCGCCAGGCACGTGTCTTGAGCATTTCCACAACAATGAATTTGGTATGTAGAACAAACATCCCCATCATCATCATTTACCGCCCGATATCCGAGACCTCCCCGACGATAGATGGCTCTCGCCAAGCCCGGAAAACCTGTCCGCGCCCAGGCTATTGTATTTGAGAGGAGTGGAATGTATTCCCCCTAGTAATGTATTCGACTTTGTCCTCGAAGTTTGCGGAACGCGCTAATTGAACTCTCGCGACTCTGACGTCGCGCCGAGCGAGGTGTCAATCATGCGAACGCTCATTTCTTTGAGAGCGGAAGAATGTAGCAAAGTTCATCGGGGCGCGCGTGCAGCGCGCGAGGGGCGCGAGGAGCCCGCTGATTGAAAGGCTTCGCTGATAACGTAGCGCCCGTTTGTCCCTACATCCCTACGCCAAGCTAAAATTAATGCACGCAGATTGTCCCTAGGCGACCTGTTGACGCTCCAAATCCCTCCAAAGTTTGTGCAAAAAAAAAAAAAAAAGTGATTAGAAACCTCGTTTGTTAAAGTTGTCGCTGACGTCAAAGTGACGCTTCCGAACTTTGCGAGAGCCGTGGTTTGAGCTGGAAATCTTCGCTTCGGATCGAGGCGAAGTTAAACTTTGTCAACATGGCGGCGCCGTACGCTGCGGCCCAGCTTATCTTCCGCCACCGTCGGCGTCGCTACCGAGACCACCGGGACGCCTTTCAACTCCCCGACAACGACTTTCGGCGACAGTACCGGCTATCGAAAGCCGTTGTGCGTTTACTCTGCGACAAGCTTCGTTCGGCGCCCGGACTTCGAGGCGGCGGACAATCGCGTCTACCATGACCCTGGAACAATAAGTGCTCCGCGCTCCGGTTCTTCGGAACCGGTAGCTTTCAAGGCATGGTGGCGACTGACGAGAACCTGTCAGTTTCCCATGTGACTGTGAGCCGGGCTGTCAGAGTTCTCGCACTGCCATCGTTTGGTTCTGTGATATCCGACGAAATACTACTAAGCTGGTATACAATTCAAAATGTTGGAAAACAAACAAGAACCGGGCTAATTCATGGGTAGGGTCGAGTCTCCCGGCAACCGGCAGAATTCTTTCCCCGAAATTCTACTGGCGATCGGTGCTCATTGGCGGTCAAATCAGCTCATCGAACGACGTGTCACAGACAGATCGTTTCATCGGCACGCGATGTAATCACATGAAGATTTTCTTCGGTTAGAGGTATATAAACATTAAACATTTTCACACCTTTATACATGTAATTGAGGTGTCCCATAACTAACACCCTGATAGGTGTAGCGATAGACCTTATAAAAAAAAAAAATCTAAACCTCACACCCTTAAAAATGTGATTTTTTAAACACGTTTTTTAAAACGTGTGATAATGCACTACACCTTTTTTATAAAGATGTAGAACTACAATACTCCTTCTCGTAGAGGTGTAATTACCACAGTAAACTTCTTGTTTTGGGGTGTACAGTGACCCGGGACCTAATAAAATGACTGAACAAATAATTACACAAACGAGTCGCCGAAACAGCGCGTCGTTACTTGGCCAGTGTCGAGGCAATTTCGGCCGAAAACCGGCTCCAATATTGGCCGGATGTACGGTTTTGCGCCTCGTCCCGACATTCGGCAGGTATGGGCGTACCGATGTAAATAAACGATTTATGTCTAATACCACTGGCCCCACTAATCTCTCAATAGGCTGGATGGCGCCTGTATTGCTGGGGTCGAGCGGCACCACCGGCAGTCATCTCTTGACACGAGCTAATGCATGCTACAGGAGAAACGGGAAAACTCAATTTTATTACGTTATTAGGTTGTTCTCGACCACGAAACTTCTATCGTGTTTTCCGCAAATAACAGTTAATATTGTGGGCAAGAATATTAAACGTGTTAAAATACCAATATTTTTTTAAAGAAATGTTGTGTGGTTGAGAGTCAAGGGTGACTTTGTTGGGCGTTAACAAGGGTTACCGAGAGTTATTGGGGTCATTCGTGATCTCGGAGTCATCAGAGCTCAGCAAACGATAAGTTAGAAGGCCTTTACTGGGGACATTCGCATCGTTTTAACCGCTTTTACATAGTACTTCTGGTGAAAGCTTTTTCTATGAACTGCTGTGAGGGCTTCCGTGACAAACTGAAACCCGGAGCGTGCCGTTCAGTCGCTGAACGTGTCATTTATTTAGCAACCGAAGCAAGCGACGTCGGTAAAGTCCGTGGTGCTGCGGCCGATTTTTTTTTGTTTTTTATCGATGTTCGAACGCTTGACGAATGTCTATTTGATCTCCAAGCATGCGATAGAATGATCGCAGCACGTCATAAAATGCTCGCCCTCGAGCACCGCGTACAAGCTTCCTACTTTTGCGTGTTTCTCTCTTATAGTTGTGTGTATTGCCTGTTGTCAAGCAATGGCCGCCGGTGATGCCAGTGACGGGCTCCCGATCCGCGATCCAGACTTGTACTGTGAGTGTTCTAATGCGTTGCACCCGCGGAGTGCTGCACGGAGAACCGGCCCCGAACGAACTTGCCGAATGCATCGAGCGCAGACTGATGCTGTCGCCGTAGATGTTGTAGAAAAGTACCGACCTCAAACCGAAACTAGCGCATTTTTGTTCGACGTGATGGTTGGGAATGCGAGAGTGCAGTCGTTGCCATCGTTTACCTATAAGCGTTGGTTGCTGCAACGTGCAACTTATATTTGCGATGACTTCCAATTAAGCAGCTCGGCTGTCAGAGATATCTACAGACGGCGTAAGTTTCCGAAACCAGCTGACTACAAAACAGCATACGCTTCAGAAAAATTGACGTTTTATTTCCCTGGTGAGGGCGTTGAGAACGAAAGCTTTCTCAAACAAAATACGACGGGGCAAGATAGCTGTCGTTCAAATATCACTTTGCTCAAGCCTCGGGTCGGAGGCATGCGGTTTAGAAAAGCTAGTTTTAGCGAACGCCGTTTTACCGACCCCGGTTTATCGAATGCCTTCATGGAGAACCCAGTTTAGAGAAAATGGCGATGAGCCACGTTTTAGCGAATTCGGCCGCCGCGAAGCGGCGTGTACGGGTAAACCAGGTGAGGGCAACCACTAGGGGCGCCCCTATGGGCGCTTGAGTATTTGGATTTTTATCTTTATTATTTAGAACGTAATGGAGGCCCTTATCTGAGACCCAAAAATGCAAAATAACAAACAGGAAAGCCTAAATCAAGAAAGACATTCAAACCACCATTGTGCATAAACAAAACAAGAACTCCGTGCTTAAAGCAGGGTGAACGTGAACAATTGTACGTATCTAGCACAGTAGAACTATACTAGCGACTACTAGGACCACCCGACGTTGAATGTCTGCCGGGCTCGTCGCCGACTTTGCCAGAAGCTGAAAGTTTCCTGCGTAAAATCTCCGTTCGCAACGCTTCGCTCCTCTGTTTCTGCACCAGCAAGTCGGTCTCGGCCTCCAGCAGACGACGCATCTGCAGAAGTACGTCGACCCTCAGCTCTTTCTCGCGCGGGTCCTGACTTCCCGCCACCAAGCTCAGTACGTCGTTTAGACGACTCGAGCTCGAACCCAGCGCTGCTCCCGAGCCGCTCGGAACGTCCGAACGATTGGCAAGACTCTTGTACGAAGCGATGCACAGCAGACGACTACCGGGCTCGTTGTCATCTGCTTCCTGGTCGGAAGACTCCATGTCGTCTGCTTCGTTCTCAACGTTGCGAGGCTGCTCCTCGAAATCGGCTGTCACGGAGTTATCGGGCGTAATCACACGACTCTGCATGACGTTAGCATCATCCGTATGCACCATCGCTTCTTCGTTGATCTCGACTTGGACGATCGGCGATGCGGGTTCAGACTTGATGGCGATCCGATTCGTGGTGTCGGCACCGTTGCCAGACGAGGTGGAGGAAATCTCGGTGCCGCTCGGAAAGAAGGCGTGGGAAGGATTTTGTTGGATCCTAGCAGCCATCTCGTGAATGAAGTGGTCGGTTTCCCGGTCCAGACGGGCCGCCTCTTCGATGCTCTTCACCCTGGAGCGAAATATTAAAAGAAACGTTAGCGAGGTTTATCGAAGGACCGTGATGCGGTGCTTGGAACAAGCCTCCGACTGGTGCGTTTACCACATGGAAGACAAAGCCTTTCCCCACAAACGTCATCTCTAATGGATCCAAGCAGCTGCGGCGGCGTTAAGACGGACCCGCCTGCCGCCTTGCGGAGACTATATGGTCGAGCTTCAGAGTGTGCCGCAGGTCGGGGATCCACTAAAGGATGACGCCGTACGCGGGTCTTGTCTTAGAGGTGCCATTGAACCAATGGTTTACCGCGTCCTAAAAGGCTTCTTTGACGACATTTGCTGCCACTTCGGGACTTTCGATGAATGGGCGGGATAGGACGCTAAACGCATCAGTCGAAGACGTATCCCAGGCATGCACCCTATAGTGATACGGCGTAGATATGCCAGCACGAATAAGAGTGAAAGCAAGCTGGACAGGAACGCGGTAGGGAGCCCGCCGGTAGCGCCGGCAGCGGCCATTGCTTAGCACCAAGCGATCCGTGCAAGTCTATGGGGGGAACGAAGAAAAATAGGGACAGCTTACACGAGAGGCGGGATTGCAAATATTGCGTTACGTCTTGCGGCCAGTATTTCGACTATTTCTCGACCAAAATCAGTATCCGGGAAGCTAATGAGTGTCCACTAAAAAATGAAAAGTATACGAGAAGCCCGCTTGCTCTCGTTGCGAAAAAAAAAAGTATTTTTATCGACTAAACTCCTTAGTTTGTTCCTGAAGCCACCGCAGTCAGACTGCTCATACAAAAGCTGCAGAGAGGGTGAAAAAATTATGTTCGGACACGCCCGGAGCATGTTCCAAGCATCTTGGCTTCGTACACTCTAAGACACAGGGTGTGTACTACCTACACCCTTTGTCCCAAAACCCGCAAACTACATTTCGACGTTCAGTCCACTGGCGTTGAACTGACGATACCCACATTTACGAGCGGTTTGATAACAACGTGATATACCTTACTAAATAACTCATGTACGCATCAGACTACAAAAACGCTGAGGTATCGCAGCAGGGCCAACAAAACCTTGAGTGCTTTCCTGTAGTCTTGATTACGCACATTATCTATTTTAATAAGTTGTATCACTGGACTATCAAGCCGATCGTGAAATTCGGTGTCGTCGGTTCGACGACGGTGGACTGAACGTCGAATTGTATTTTTTAGGGTGTTATACACGAAACAAGGGGTGTAAGTACTACACCCCCTATTTCTGAGAGTGTACACAAGCACGCTCCGTACATGTCTGCAAACATTTTTAGTGTGGCCAATGTGACAGGTCGGTCATACAAGGAAGAAACGCGCTGAAGATTGTCATTAGGCTGTCTTTTGTATGACGTTTTAGCAGTTTGACCGTGGCCTCGCTCTAGTTTGGAGCAAAACCTTGCAGCAAAAGCACTCGACAACAGCGTTTGAAATGACGAGGATGGGTCCGGTTTCATTTCTCCACCTGTGGCAACACGATAAATAAATTAATCGTAGATCTTCCTATTTTTAACCTCGGAAGACATTAAGGTGGGAAAACCAGTCGAACCATCGTGACTAAATATCGAGCCTTCCTATTTCCAGACGCTGAAGCAGATATGTTCATTGCAGAAAACTTTGCGGCTTATTATCACCAGTAATTGTGTGTATGTTTATAAAGGGGGAAGTTGGGCAGCCCCCTGAACCATTGGCTGCGCCGCCTTCTTGCGCCCTTTTTTTCTTAGAGCGTGTATTCCAATAAATGTTAGTTGGGAGTGCGCCCTGTATCGCTCACTTTCTTGTTTTTGCGTGTTTTTCGACGCCTTATTACGTGACCTGCCAACGGATCGCCCAGCTGCTGACCGTAGCTGATTTGAAACCGGACACGACACCCAGACCGCGTTAAGACCCTCGTCTCATCGAAGTCAAAAGCGTCGCACATTTTTAGGGGACACGTTTTATATTAAGCCGCCGCCACACTGCATCATTCAAAAGACACTTTGCCGACACTGTCCTAGTTTCTTCCTTGTATGTTGGGCATACACTTTACTCTCTGCAGACGTGTTCGGAGCATTCATGTGCATGAAGCAAACGTGCCTTCGGACATTAATTCTCCCATCATGTGTGCAGCGACCAGCGTATCTTTTCTAGGATGGATGAGCAGTGTAAAGAATATGCCTTCGAAATATGCGGGTGAATGGACCGTGCGATCGAGTGAGAGAAAGGCTCCAGGGTCGCCGAGTGACAAAACCTTTTAACCGCAGTCCACTGCTCGTAAATCGCAAAAAAGGCAGAGGCTGCATGCGGACACGATGGCAGAATGATCTTCGAGCACGCATCAAGCACCTTCAAAACATCTCTGTTTCCTTCAAAACATCTCTGTTTCGTACATGTGGAACCATCGAGCGTATCTGCAGGATGTTTTTGTGTCGCCAATGTTGCGGGACACGAGGAGTAAACACATATTGTTTGTGTTACCGCGGCGAACAGACACGAAGGAAGACGGAAGCGCTTCTCACTGGGCGCAGTCTGCAGCCGCGCCGTCGCCGGCGGTGAGGTGGGCGTCGTGGACGTGCAGCGAGGGACCCGCCACGATGACGCCATCTTTTGTCCGGCAGCGGCCCGGGCAGCGGACGAACTCGCAGCGCCAGAACTGCACTCCTTCTACCACGTTCTCCAGGATGTACCTGTACTCGCCGATCTCCACGCTGGGCTGCACAAAACGGGATTTACGAGGACGCTAATGGGGTTTTTGAGACCATCTATTCATGGTCACAACTCAATCTACGGTCTCTAATCATTCTAGATAACCCACATATTATATTGTCCGATTTCCCTATTAGAAAAAGATCGCAACGCTCCCGTTTCTCTGCGATTCGGCGCAGGAGCAAGAAGGCGGCACAGTCAATCGCGGTATGTGGTCGGCCCCCTTTACGCGACAGAAGCTTACCTAGCGATCCAGCAGTGGGAGCGAAAAGCCTTTTCATTTCAATTGTAATTTTTATTTTTGCTTTAATATTTAAAAAAAAAAAAGAACAGCATGCGGATATTCTTATATGTCTTGACTCTATGATCAGTAAATATTACTTAAAGGGGCCCTGCAATCATATTTAAACGTCAACCTTTTTTGCGGTTTCCACGTCCCTCGGGGTTCGGGCAAGCCAGCGGGCACGGAGAGGGTAACTAAATATCAATGCGTCATATTTTAACCGGACGACGCGGAAACCTCCTCCACCTACGGGTGCGACCCGCGTTGCAGAAAGCGCGCGATATGAGACGTCTTTGGTCCTGAGCTTACGATAGGTCAGATCCGCTTAAAGCTTCTTTTTTGTCGAAATGCAATATATAGGTGTGGCGAACCGTTTCAATTATTTATAAAAGTAGTTTTTGTTCACTATTTTGGATCAGAAAAGAAACAAATGCAGCTTAGAAAGTACGGAAACAAGAAATGACCCGTCGACATACCCGCCACCAAGCAGTGGAAAAGGCGGCGCGTACTAGAAAGGTCACCTTAGGTGTAGTGGGATCAGACACCGACGAACGGCGAGCGTAACAAGGTCCCGGATGTACGCGACGGCGCTGCGGTCGTACGGACAGGAGGATCCGACCGGTCAGACAAAGCTGGTCGCCTTCTGCGAGCAGCTTTGGCTTGCGGTTTGGCCTTTTGGCGGTATGGAAGAGCGAAGTGGCTCCCGTTCTGAACTGATCTTTACCCCGTGTTTGCTGTTGTTTGTGGCCAATGAAATGTCATGACGTATTAGTGTTTAATCACGCAGCAAATGCAATGTCAGCCGCCCTGGCTGCCCGCTTCATACAGCCTACCAGAACATGCTTTAGTGGCGCCCTCCCGAGCCGTCGACACGGAGTGCGGCAGCCGTGACCGCTCACTGAGCTGACTACCCCCCCCCCCCTCCCCCCCCAGTCAGTCACACGTTTTTATTGAGTAACGTTCACGGCCACTCAAGCAACCAAGGACGTCATGAAGGTGGTTATTTTTTGCTTGTTTTTGTAACTTTAATTTGCCTATAACTTTTAAAATGCAGCGAAATTTCAGAAAAGAAAAGTTTCATTAAGTTACTACGTTCAGTGCGCTCAGGTTCGGTGCAAATTAAAAATTAGTAAAAAAAAGTCCTTGCAGGGCCCCTTTAACAAGTGAAACATTAAACAAAACTACAATACCTGAAATTCACACGATGTCTCGTTTTGCCCCGCCCTGTGGGGCAAAATGAGACAACGTAGTGCACGGTACAATGAGACACACTTAGAAAACCTGATATGTGTTCGGGTTTTCGCAATAAAAACACTTGAAACACACTGTGTCAGCTCCAACACGCTCTTCGTGAGCCTACTCCTTGCATTCCAGGCACTCCTCGATCCATACTGAATGCGGGGCTGCTCGACCCCAGAGGTCTTCGCATACCAGGCACTGCCAACCTCTTGCGGTGTGCATCGCACAATCCGCAGGACGCTTAGCTACTGTAATAATCTTTCTCTTTAGTTTCACCTTTTTTTTTTTTTTTTTTTTTTTTTGGGGGGGGGGGGGGGGGGTTAGTTAAACGCCGGTTTTTACAATCCTTGGTTTCTTTTGCCAACAACAACTTCGCTTATTAGGTAGATGACGGTAGAACAGTGCTGTTCTCCGACCTGCTTGTTCCCTTTTTCTATCCTACGTTTGGTAGAGAGGAAATATTTTTGAAACTTGAAACGTCGGAAAGAACACGCCTTCGGTAGCCTAGACTTTTTTTTTTTTTTTTTTTTGTGGTAGAGCTGCTGTCTTTTACATTCCCCGATCCGTTTGGTTTGCATATGAAGCGCATCCTTTGGTACACCAAGAAGTGTGGCAGCAGTGCGAAGGCGTGACGCTGCTGCTTGACACTTTCGAGAGCTGACCACATAAACACGTCAACTATGAGACGATATGGTAGACAGAAAAGAACATGGCGTACTTGTGAAAGCGCAGACTGTTTATTCTTTCGTTTCTTCTCCTTCCTCCTTTATACCCTTGTTTTGAAGGATGAAGATTGCCTGATAATTCTCGGAGTTGAAAATTAATGTCATTGCGGGCAATGGTAGACACAGGTGTTTGGAGAGACGGAGGAATGCTGGAGTTTTAGATAACGCGTACGACGTTTTTAGAGAAACGCTGAATTGTTCATTTTTCGTAATACGGGCACGTAATGTTTCTTACGGGCAGTCAATTGATTCGAACAGCTACATCGCCAGTAATATAAAAAAATATAAAATAAAATAAAAATAAAACAGAAAACAAAAAGAAATAAATAAAAAAGGACAAGATAAATAAAAAGAAAAAGAGAGATAAGTACACCCCCCCTTTTTTTTCCAAAGAACAACAACAACAACAACAACAAAAGACAGCAAAAACATTTTCATGTGACAGTGCTAATATCATAAATAGAATTTACACCAGCCACCCTGCACCCTCACCATTGCTTCAAAGCATTTCGTTTTGCACAATGCTAAACAGAATGACAGACTATTTTGATCCACGCCTGTTTTGGAAGAATGAGTTTCATAATAATCTCTCTGTTGCGATAGGTATTGTGTTATGTAGCTGTTTTTTTTTTTTCTTTTTTTTTTTGTATGTTTTTGTAACACTTGCTAGGGCTGCGCACTAATTAAGAAATAAGCGACTAATTGATCAGCTCATCTCTCTAATCTGGGGGTGATAGAATTGCGTTTAGAAAATTATGTGAGCCTTTCGGAAGTTGGGTCTTTTTGAAAGTATAAATAAAACATTTTTACTTTGGGAAACACAATTGCTGGGACTGGTATGACCTTTACTAGGAACAGTACGCCATGGACTTTGCCGCGTGCTCTAAACAGAACTCTGGAGACGGTAGAAAGGAACATATGCACGTCTTTACTAACGCCAACTTGCCAGCAACTTCTACTGCAATCTAAAAACGGTGTGTTTTTATTGAGTAACGTATTTGTAGCGTATCTTCCTGACTAAGGACTAAGGACCGGCATACAGTTCGCAGGGTAAAAGTTTGGCTGAAGTGGTTTTCGTCAAATAGTTCGGGCTAATGAACTGCACTGAATCACTTCATCCTGTTGAAAATGTCACTTCTCACGCTGAAAACGTCACTGCGTAGAACACCAGCTCACCGCGCTCACTGTGCTTCCCAAGCCTTTCCCTGTGGCCCGTACGCTCTCGCCGCCGCCATGTCAAGTGTCTGCCGTCCGCAATCCCAGACAGCTCTCCCCCGTCTTCCCCGCTGTGTTCTCGGGCCGTGCCCGCCCGCCGCTTACTTCGCTTTGTGTGAGAGACCGCCTCTAGCCCTCTGAACATGTAACCGCCTAAGCTTTTCAATAAAGTCCCTAATTATTACCTCTACTCCCAGCCCTGCCATGCCTCACATTTGGCGCCGTCGACCTCAAGAACTTTAAACTAGCTTTCGAGTCTTTCCAAAAGTCTTTCTCGCCCTTCGAAACTTTGGCGACTCGCCCACTCGCCTCAACCAGCCAATTCCCTCTTCGCCTCTTCTCCCATCCGCCATGCCGCTCATCAACTGGGAGGAAGCCACTGCCGCAGAACTCTCCGACTTCACGGCGGATCTCATCTGTGAAGATCTCGGTCGACGCCAATTGGACAATACTGGCAACAAAGATGAAATTATTCAGCGTCTTCTAAACGACATCGCCGAAACAAAGCCACTACCCGAAGCCAACGCCCATGGAGTTGTTCCGTCCGACTCCACTTCAGCGGGGCAGCCAGGCACATCAATCATGCCTACCTTTACAGCCGATCCCGTCCAAATATGCAGTTGTTAACTACCTACAACAGTTCCTCCACATCCCGACAAGACCCGTGAACGTAACAACCCTTCCGGATTTGTCTTCTATGATCTCCACGTTCAGCGGAAACGGAGGAATTTCCGCTCGCCGATGGCTGGAAGACTTCGAGCGCACCCAACAACTTGCCTCGTGGTAGCCCTCAACCCTGCTAGCCATCGCGCTGGGAAAACTCCGAGGACCAGCCGCCGATGGGAAAGTCACAACCACCTGCGAGAAGATGGCACCCCGTTTTAAAGGACCCTACCAGATTCTGGACCTGAAGACGCCGACAACCTATCTTCTACAGCGACGACGGCGTGTCGCGTATACGGCAACCGACACGAAAGTCACCCACGCAAGCCAGATCAAGCCGTTTCATCACCCATACGTTGACGAAACCCTGCTCGAGCCCTCAGAAGAATCTCCGCCCGACAGCCGAGACGTACTCCTCAAACCGGACAGTCAAAGGGTTTCCCCCGCGCAACCCAAGGATACGCAAAATGACTCCCACCTAACAAACCCCGACTCCATTGACCCATGCAGTCGCGGAAGATCAAACGCCTCTAGCGCGCTCAGAGCGTGCTCGAAGGCCTTCTTCCTGGCTTCTAGACTTTTTGAGTGACTAATGATCTCCCAAGTGGACTTGGACAGCTTTGGGAGGGGTGGGATTCTTGGCACGGCCCTTCGGCGTGCCAAGAAAGCTTTGAACACGCCGCCAGACCGGCGAAACTTGCTTTCGACGAGTTGTGCCTTTTTCCTGCGACACTGCGCTTTCGTAAAATTTTCCACGTGTTCACAACGGCAAGTCTCAACGGTACACAGAGTCTTAAAAAACTTCTTCGGCGAATGACGACGAACGAGTAGAAAACGTGTTTACAGCACGCTGGAAAACCGCAGCAAAACGCTGGCAAAACCGCAAATCGTATCCCAGCAAGGTTGCGTCCGGTGGCTTCATTTGCGGGAGCGGGAAGCGCGATCCAGCAATTGTCATTGAGATCAGTGGGCGGAGCTAACATGCGCGCATCAGTGTTGCGGAATGGGCACCCCCATTCCATTCCAATTCCATCCCGGGGATTTAGAGTTTTCGATAACTAAATTCCTTTCAACTTCTAGGAATGGGGATTCCCACTCCTAGAATGGCTGAATCGTTCCATTCCATTCCTCTAATTGCTAAACGTAAAAATTGGCATTTGACACTGCAGCTACATTGTGTTGCCGGCGTAAGCAGCATAAAGCTGTTATTATAAAAGGCATAGACAATTGCAAAAAAAAAATGCTAAATGATTAAAAAAAGCACTGACTTTACACAGCGCAGCGCTGGTGGCACAAAGTGTCTGTTTATATTTTAGCGTAAAAACTGAGAAAGCCCCTTGATATGTCAATGCTTGTTTAAGACATCGGTCCCGCGACCACGTGGCTCGCAACAAACAGCAAAACTTAAATCCACTCATTTCCTTTTTTTTTTTTTTTTATTGCAAACTTTTGCATTTGACTTTTAGGACATACGCGGCCAGGCGTGTTTGCTTGATAAGACCATAAAAATATCCAGTTTGTGCGTGGCGCTGAAATAAGCTATATTACTGTATTCTTCAAATACCTGCATAGCAACACGGCTAGTGTACGCTGCTGGAAGCGAGTCCATACGCAGCGGCAAGAACACATCCTCTGACAAAATGCAACCTCTACGGCGCAGCTTGAGGGACCGATAGACCATGGCACGAAACCTGTTTTAAAACGCATAAGTTCACGCATGCTTTACGAATCTCGATATTTCTTGTCATATTCAATTCAATTCTTTATGTGTTTCCAGGCGATCAATAGAACGTCTGCTGGGCTCAAATATACATTTGCTCATTGTGGTTCGTTCATTATACGGACGTTATCGGTTCATTACCTGTCATTTGTTGATCATCTCGCTCAATATTCGGACATGACCCAATACAAAGCAATTACTCTCATGCAAAGTTACAAAGGACTATATGCTAAACTCACTAATACAAATTGCTTGAATCCTTCTCGTTCGACAACACAAAACGGCTCCATGTCAATGCATATAATTTTGAATAGGGCTTCATCAAGTGCAGCTTTTCGATGAGCCGGAACAAGGCTGCACCCAGCGATGAAGGCGAAAGTTATTTTTGGCTGGTTCGCCTGGCCTTTTCCACCCTTCGCGTACTCATTCTCGTGTTTCCTCTTCAGATGGCGAATAAAGTTCGATGATACGCCGACTACACCGTGTATAGTTTCGATGCACAACTTGCAGCGTGCAGCTGTTTATTTTCTTCGCGACTAATGTAGAAAAATGTCTTCCCCAATGCCAATACTAGATCTGTATTTATCTCGTCTTCTCGTCCGAATTGTGATTTTCCTCTTCGCGCTGATCGAGCGGCGGGTTCAGGCAATAGACGGTACCAACCGATTCATTCTTCTGCCTGGGGGCCTGGTTGTTCGCGTTGTGGCGACGGGTCGCGCAGTCGGAGTCGACAAAGTAACGGGGTAATATCGCACCGCTCGAATTGACATTCCCCGTCTCTCCCCAACGCCACCGTCCAACTGATTTCTCACCGCCTCAAACAGCTAGGGTCCAGGACAAGGAGCACGAATGCAGACCGGACAGCCGAGACGCGCGGAAGCCAAAACCTCAGCTAGCACCCAGCTGTCCTTCTCAGTGGCCCTCACAGCAACGGTCGCGCCTCGTCTGGCGCGGAACTGTCTTTCTGCAAATCTAGTCAGTTCGGTCACGCGACAAGAGCGGTGACGACAATCTACTTCACCTTACGATGGACCGCAACAGACAGCACGAGATCCATCGAAACCAATTCAGTGCTTTCTCAGTATCGCGTGACCCTGGGGCGAAGCAACGGGCTTTGCGTGTAGTCCAGCTCACGGTGCTGGATTGTCTGGGGTGACTCGTATATACGTCCGCAGCGGTCCATTGCAAGGCGAAATAAAGTATGCAAAGACTAAAGTCAAAGGAAATGAGCGGCAATCCGCTAGCTTGTTTGTAACCCTAACCCACTTGAATGTTCAACATATAACACAGAAAACAAGCGTCGGAACAGAGACCAAGCCAAAGGCGGACTTGCACGTAAAAATGCAATATAAAAAACAAGCGTCGGAGCAAAGCGCAAAAGGAGAAGAGAGAAGATCTCGCTTTGTTTTAATGCCGACGCAAAGCCACGTTTCGCACTTCTAAGGAGTGCGCGCGAATGAACGTGGAAGGCAGCAGGGTTGGCTGACTGATAGGTTCCTCGAGCTATAAGAAAACAATAACTGATCACCTTTCGGCGGCGCGCGAGTCAACGAGTTATCAGAGCTCTGCGAGTTATCAGCCGCCCCCGCTCACAGAGATCTCAGTCTGTGCGCGCGTGCATTCTCCATGCTTGGTGCTCGGTTTCTTGTTTCGATCTCTCTCGTGTAACGCCAGTGAAGCCCGTCGCCTGCGCGTCCGTGAAAGGCACCACCGCCCCCCCCCCCCCCCCCCCCTTTTTCTGTTCTTTGCTTGGACGCTTCTTTTATTGTATTTTTTAGTGTTTTTTTTTTTTTGCGTATCAGTTTTTTGTTGATTTTATTTCTGAGCAACTGACTCGCTGACTGGCTCAATTTATCTATCCGTAAACCCTAAAACAAGAACAAAAAAAGAAAAAAAGAACCGAGCCCATTTCATTCCCATTCCATTCCGGGAGAAAGGCATCCGATTCCATACTCCTTCCATTCCCCTCAACGTTGCGGCCATTCCATTCTTATTCCATTCCGGTCGCGAAAATGCGGAATGATCTCGGAATCATTCCAACTCCGGAGTGGCAACTCCGCAACACTGGCGCGCATGGGAGAAAAGATTTAATGAAATAACTGCTCTTATTTCAAAACGTTACCATACTGCTCTAGATTTTACTCTCTGGGTAAATATTTTAAAACACCTATGGTTATTTTAGTCAAATATACAGTTGTAACGAGTAGGCATAGTTTCGGTTTGCTTCAACTCCCGCGGTGCCAATTTAGAGGGCGGCGGAGAAAAGCTCACCGGAGAAAAGCTCACCGCAAAACTGGCAGATGCGGAGAAAAGCTCACCGGCCTTAGAGCGAATGCGGAGAAAAGCTCACCAGCTTTTTTAACTTAGCGGATTCTGCGTCAAACGTGCCAATTTAACACAATTCGCATTCGTCACTTCATTAAAAATATGTCATCTTTTTTGTAATATTCTTGAAGTTCATTGGGCATATATACTAATTCTTCGGGAATTAGTAATCGCCCATTATGTTTATTAATGAAACCGCAAGTATAAAAACAGAACATCGTAGACCGGTAAAAAACAACAATTTATTGACAGCTGACGGCTACTGTTTTATTTCTGTTAATTTCACTAAGAAACCTTTAGATGCGAGAACAACTCCATCCTGTCGTGTTTGTTGTCTTCACTCCGTCGTCGTCATCCGAGTGGTTTTCATCGTGTATAACGTTTACCAACTCGCCCTATTCGCTACCTTACAGAAGACTACTTCTTATATAGGTCACGAGTAACAACGGTGCCAGTGTGCAGCTCTGAAGGTCATGGGTGGCTCACCGTAGAAGGGCACATCACAAAAAGGCAACGTGTCGAAACACCACCACGAACGGCTAGAAAACGTACGTGCATCTCTATGGAAGAAAAAAGCCTCGATATCCTACTGACTGTTTTATCCTCTTTTCAAAAGTTAGCAAAAGCTTCAAAGAGAATTTCAGGCGCAGCGTTGTTGCTCATGCACGTTCGGATTTTCGGCATTTACAGTTTTGATTTTGAGGTTTTAGGGAGACACTATTAAGTTTTCGAACCTGTTCCTGTTCGTCAAGTTCATAAAGTTTTCAGTTAGGCGTTCGTTGCTTAGAGAGTAAACCACAGGAAACACTCTCGCGCTATTATTATTTTGGGAACAATATGCCCAATAAGCTTAACAAATATTACAAAAAAGGACATATTCTTTTTTTACAAAGCTGATGAATTTTAATGATCATAAATTAATATATGTTACGCATGATCCAACAGCCTCCATATAAAAAGAAAAAAAATCGGTGAGCTTTTCTCCGCATACGCTCAACGGCCGGTGAGCTTTTCTCCGCATCCGGCGGTTTCGCAGTGAGCTTTTCTCCGGTGAGCCTATCTCCGGTCAGCTTTTCTCCGGTGAGCTTTTCTCCGGGATTCCAATTTAGAAACTATGCACTCCTGCGAAAACGGGACATGATTCTTTATTGGGACAAAAAGACGGGACAATAGTGACATAAAAATACAATAGTAAAAAGTTAATAGTAAATATGAAAAGAAAAAGGATATAATAAAAGTAAAATACAAGGCTACAATGGAAATAACTGTGTTAATAATAATAAAAGTAGAGTGGTCACCTGCTGTTTGTAAGAGGCGAGGCCCTTGCGAGTGGCCCGCTCTCTGGTCACGCTCTTGTGGGGTTCCTCGTCGTGCTGTCGAAACCGGTACACCATGTGACGGCCGTCGTACACGTCGGTCGTCAGGCGAGCCTTGCAGGTGCGCACGTCGCACCGCCACCGGTACCGGTCCCCGTTGTGTTGCTCGAGCGTGAAGGTCCGTCCGCCGTACACCGCCTTCTCCTTGCCGCGCCGCGACGGCACCAGCCGCACGGCGTCCTCGATCGAAGCCGTCGGCGCTGCCGCGACGCTCGCCATTGCTCCCTCGTCGAACACGCTGACGACCAACTGCCGCCTGCGGAACACTCGGCGGCTGCCCTTGCGGATGTTCTCCACCAAAAGGAGACCAACAGCGGAACGAGCGAGTAGAAGAACCAGCAAGTTCGGAGATATGCGTCTCCGTGGAAGTCCTTTTCAGGGCGCGGAGCGGATTCGACGATTTGGCCGACGGGGAGTACCGGGGGGAACAGAGCGGCGGCGGCGGTGCGTGGTTGACAGTCCGGCGTGCAGAGGGAGCTCATCGACCAAGCGGCTTCGACGAAAGGAGGAAGCGGAGAGGGTCGCACAGCGGTGCGGCGGAGGAGAGGTTCGACGAAATGCGGCGTGACGGCCGAGGGCGCTGCGGCTGCTCTCTGCGCGCGGCCGCGGCGTCTGCTTCGGCCAAGGCGTTGGCTCGTGGCTCTCTTTTTGAATCGAACATCGACACTGATATTTTTGTCGTATTCCGGAGGCCATTATTGCGGGTGGCGGAGAAGAGCTCACCGGAGAAAAGCTCACCGCAAAACCGGCAGATGCGGAGAAAAGCTCACCGGCCTTCGAGCCAATACGGAGAAAAGCTCACAGATTTTTTTTTTCTTAGCTTAGTGGATTGTGCGTCACACGTGGCAATTTAACACAACTAGAATTCGTCACTTCAATAAAATAATTCTCCTCTTTTCTGTAATATTCTTGAAGTTCATTGGGCATATTTACTAATTCCTCAGAAATTAGTAATAATCCATTCTGTATATTAGTGGCGCCGCGAGTATAAAATCGGAACATCGGACACCCGTGAAAAAGACAACAATTTACAGCTTGACAGTGCGCCGTCGGTAGCTCAATCAAAAAAATAGATTTTTTTTTTTTTTTGCGTGCTAATATGAATAGCGGTGTGTGGACCGTTTCAGCTCCCAAGATTGTTTAGTGTCCGATAGGGAAGTAGCTGTTTGTTGATGTAATCAGTGTCGGCTAAGCTGTTTTCTTTTTATTTTTTTAATTAATAAAAAAATTCGTTGCAAGAACAGCGTTGTCCTGTTGTCTTTGTTGTCTTCACCCCGTCTTCATCGTTTGAGCGGTTTTCATCGTGTATAACGTTTACCTACTCACTGGTTAACAACGGTGACAGTGTGCAGCTCTGAAGGTCATGGGTAGCTACTATCACACAAAGGCAACGTGTGGAAACACCAGCACGAACGGCCAGAAAACGTGCATGTCCGTGGATGAAAAAAACCGCGATATCCTACTGACTGTTTTATCCTGTTTTCAAAGGTTCACAAAAGCTTCAAAGAGAATTTCAGGCATCGCGTTGTTGCGCATGAACTTTCGGATCTCCGGCATTTACAGTTTTGCTTTTTAGATTTTAGGCAGACATCATAAAGCTTTACTTTTTCGTGTTCTTTAAGTTCATAAAGTTTTCAGTTAGGCTTTCGCTGCCTAAAGAGTATACCACAAAAAAAACTCGCCCGCAGTTATTAATTTGCGAGGAATATACCCAATAAGCTTAATCAATGTTACAATAAAGGACATTTTCTTTTTTACAAAGCTGACTAATTTTAATGATAATAAATGTATATATGTTACGCGTAATCCAACAGCCTCCATTAAAAAAAAAAAAAAAAAAATGGTGAGCATTTTTTCGCATTTGGCGGTTTTGCGCTAAGCTTTTCTCCGGTGAGCTTTTCTCCGGGATTCCATTACCGCGGACCACTTGTAGCAATGACAGACATGGAAACTAAAATTCCGCAATTCGCGAAATACGACAGCGAATAGGGAAGCAACAGCATCGGAACAGCTTCCGCAGTATTCAATCGAGGCTGTTAAACTGTGGAAACACGTGTTGCTAAGTGTGCAGCACTTCTTTTCTTTTTTCTTTTTTTTCCTTTTTTTTTTGTGATTTATTATAAGTTTATAACTGTAGAGCGTACAAGCACCAGCGTATCGTCTTGAAAACGCCTTCATGAGTTCACGTGCGCAGGAGGCTTGTAGCTTCTCCTTCGCTCGCAATCAGTGTTTAGCGAAGTCTCCAAAAATGGCCAGCCACGACGGATGGCAGGCATTGCAAAATGCCTGCTATCCGTCCGTTTAGTAATTAACTAAATAATTAAATTTACTAAGGAACTTACTAATTTGTGAAAATGAACAAAAGGTTCCAATTACAAACTTCCTGAGCGTAAAAGAAAACCCCTTAATCAGTCAATTTAAGAAGACGTGACGGGGGCGTAATGTAATAAAAAATATGCAAAAAAAAAAAAAAAACAGGACAGAGAAGTGAGGCACACAGGACAGGTCGTACCTTGCAACTGAATTTTAATAGAACACACAAATAAATATATTAAAACCGCACATGCGCACAGAGGATACATTTCATATAGATTAAAACAAAAAAAAAACAGAGGCTAGACGTCACTGATGGGTGTCTGAAGCTTGACTGATGAAGGCCTGCTCCTTACCAGAGAGGGCGATAGAGGGAGCGCTGATATAAACATCCGGGCCATGGGCCCTTATCGTGAAGGCCTCATGTATTTCATACTCCAGTTGCGTTTTGAATCTTTGCGCAACCTTAGCTCTATGGAACTCCGGTTGGCATTCACATCTTCTGTGATAGATGTGAATGCCAACCGGAGTTCCATAGAACTAAGGTTGCGGAAATATCCAGAACGCGAACGGAGCGTGAAATACATGAGGCCTTCGTGATAAGGGCCCATGGTCCGAATGTTTGTATCAGCGCTCCATTTGTCGCCCTATCTGATAGGAGCAGTCAAGCTTCAGACACCCATCAGTGACGTCTAGCCTCTGTTGTTTGTTTGTTTGTTTGTTTGTTTTTTTCTTGTTTTTTTTTTTCTAATCTAAATGTGCGTTTTGTGCTCATGTGCGGTTTTAATATTTTTATGTGTGTGCTCTAATAAAATTCAGTTGCAAGATACGCCCTGTCCTGTGTGCCTCTCTTCAGTGTCCTGATTTTTTTTTGCGTATTTTTCTTTATGTATTTGAACCAACTAGCCCAACTAGCAGTTTTAATAGTAGTTATGTGAACTGAACTGGTAAAATTAAAGACGCAGTGTTGGATACACAGATGCAATTTATTATGGCACGAGTTTCCCAGAGTGAAATTCATTGACATAGATCTATTACATCATATCACATGTAAGTACACGAATAGCAACGTTAACGAACACACAACACTGAACTCCATGACACACTTAGATGTGTGCCAGTTATTCAAAATTAAAGCTCCAAAAACAAATCTCGCACACTCATCCTGTGCAGCAGGTGAAGAACCGATTATTGCTGTTTACGTAAAAATGGCTGCGAATCAAATAGCGCTTCAAGTAAAAATGACTCTAAGACACTGAGCATGATACTCGGCGAGCCGATGTCGAGCTTAAATCTATTATTTTCGAAAATTGCTGGTTCTGGATGTTTGGTAGTGAACGCGGTTAACCACGAGCACCGGCACGAGTCTATGGCTTGAAATTTTATGGTCACTTGCAAAGTCGTGAAACGCGAGCACGTTTTCCTACCCTTCGAATCATGAATTATAAAAAGATTGTGTCGTCGAATTCAAAGTGATGTCTTGGTCACCATTCTCTGATCTCCTTCGGTAAATCGCAGACTCTACCTGCTACGCTGAATCGTAAACGTGCCAGCTTTTTGCCGAAATTGCGTCTTCTTTGCGGCTAAGTGAACAATTTAAGGGACCAGGACATTGTATACGAAATAAGCTTAAATATAACGTTGATGGTCTGGAATCTTAACTATAATTATAAACGAACATCATTGTACCAACTGACATGGAAACACCGAACAACAAAACGCTTGTGGTAATCAAGTTCAGTCTGTATTCCATTGGGTACGCATGGATTCTTAGGAAGTGTGAGCTAATTTGTTTGTCGTCGCACAATGTTGAACTTCAAGATATCGATAGGCTGCTTGCACTGACGTCACATCGCACACTTTTGAACACCGAGTAAAAGGAGAAGAGGGAAACTGCTTTTGTAAGAATGTTGAGTGACAGGTTAATCTTCTCTAATCTTCTGGGAGGAGAATAGCGACGCCTGTGCAAATCCGGGAGGCACGAAGGAGGATCCTGATAAGAGGGGAGCTCCTTCTTCCCCTTTTCTCCGGAGGGCATCGGAAAGGACGTCATGTGCAAGCCACGTATACTCCAGATACTACGTCTTTTCCGGGCCATATATACACACTGGTTGCACTGGCCTCACATCGTATACTTTTGACCACCATGTAAGTGGAGGAGAGGGAAGCTGCTTTTGTAAGAATTTTGAATGGCGGGTTAATCTTCTATAATCTTCTGGGGGGAGAATAGCGACGTCTGTGCGAATCCGGGAGGCACAAAAGAGGATCCTGATAAGACGCTTATGGTCAAGAGGTCCAACGAGTCAAGAGGTCCAACAAGTCAACAGGTCCAATAGCCACGTGACAGCCGAGTCAAGAGGTCCAACGAGTCAAACTGTCTAATTCGAGTCAAGAAGTCCAACGAGTCAAAAGGTCCAATATATGGCAAGAGGCTCAACGCGTCAAGAGGTCCAACGAGTCGAGAGGTCCATCGAGCCTTATTTTTTATCCTCTCTGTTCATAATTATATTGCTATTAATGGCTGCTTGTGACGGTTACTGACTGTTTGACCTATTTGAATGATTTTGAACAATACAACTACTACATAGCTATTGGTGACAGGTAGAAAAAGACTATTTGTCACAATGTATATGTATATGGGTGTTAAATAATGGATAGTGCCTGGCGACATATTTTGGACTTCTAGAACTTAGTATCTGTGTTCCAGTCTCTGTGTTCTAGGACACATTTGTGCCATTTCTACGGGAGTGGCCTCTCAAATTCCCGAAATATAAAATACAAATGTATCTCAGGATCTCGCGTTTAGCCTTGACTTTCATGTATATCAGTATTTATAATCGCAAATACTTCCTTCGGTAACTTTGCCCAGTCCTGGGTTCTCGTATGTTCTATAAAAAAATATGATGCGCTACTATTTTATGATTTTGTTTTTATTCACCGAGTTCACCGAATCACTGAAGAGGTAAATAACACAACATGGAAAGGAGCTCAAATATTATTGGAGGTTTCGCCACTTGCCGTCAAATAGGGTGTTGCAAATGAATGCGGGCATTGTCTGCTTGAAACGTTATGACCGGTGCAAGCTAGCGGGCTATTCTGGGCCGTTGACTTTCTCAAAAGCACGGAGCAGCCACGAATACTTATGCTAGTGATATGTAACTCCTTCGCTGCTCTTTATTTTTGCGAATGCTGTGAAATAAATCATAAAACGGAATGTTTCGTGATTAAGCACACTTGACACGAATTACCGAACACTTGTCTGTCGATATCATTTATTTTAAGTTGACATCACGCGATGTGTTAGTCGGGTGGAATTGTAAGATGGGGGGCCAGTTGCTCGATCATTTTTAAGAAAATTGGATTATAGAGATTGAAGTCGATTGGAGAACTGTTCATGTCGGAAAGTGCGTCGATCTCGGAAGCCGATAGATATAGTGTGTCCAGTGCTAGTCCACGGCGAACGGAAAAATGACTAATTTTACACGCCATTCTGCGCCCGGCCAAACTGTGTCTTCAAGTTCTTCGAGAACCAAGGACTTCAGAATATGAAGGAAGCTATTTTGACGAGACGTGAACAAATTAAAACAATTACTACAACTTTTGAAAATGATGTCGCAGAAATTTAAAATAAAAAATAAAAAACTCTCTTCAGTTATCCTGACGTCAAACACCTGAATAGTGCTTTAGTGTGATGGTAGACGTCGAAATAGCAAATAACTGTGGACATATCTTTCGTATATGACGAAAGATGTGTGCAAAGTAGTTTTACAATTATTTTGAACCCGCATGTCGAAGTAGTGACTACCTAATGAAAAAAAAAAGCATCTCAAATCGTGGAATGCTAAGACCTTTCCTTTGACGAGTTCGATATTCGCGGAGGAGATAAACGCGGGAGATGCAGATTTACGACTTCGTGGTCAGGGGTAGAAAAGCGAAGGCACACAGCCCTGAAGGGCTGCAGGTCCCCAACAAACCAATGTTGCTATAAGCTTGACAGTTTATAACAACAATGATTTCCGGTGTTTACGAATCCAGTGCCCAACATGCGATCTCCACAGCCCAGCGCGCGCGTATCTGTCGCTTCAGAAACCAAGCAAATCACGGGTCATACAGACGAACAGTGATTATATCACCGACCAGAAACGATATATCAAAGCCCTGTTAGAGATCCCCCTTGCCGCGTGGAAGTCTTCACAGCTTAACTTTTTGCTATTTTTCCAGCATTTTTCTTCTCCGCCTTATTTTGTTAGCATCTCTGTTGTCTGCTTTATTTGATGCGTGAGTATTACCTGGCTCAGTCAGCGAAACAGCCGTCGTCAAAATCCGTGACTTATCCAACGCAATTCAACAGAATTAAAAAAAAAAAAACTCTGGTCACGTGACCTTTCTGGTTACGTGAGCACGAAACCCTTTCCTGCCTGGTTTCGAACCTAGACCCTCTTGATCGTGAAACTAGCGCGCTATCCGATGCGCCAACAAAACTCGGGCAACAAAACTCACGCATTCTCACATCATAAGGAAAAGCTTAGGTGCCCTAGTAGTTTTTTTTTTTTTTTTCTTCTTTGATTTTACTTATTTCACTCCCCTTGCCCGTACGTATTTCACACCAAGAGGTGCAACGAGTAAGATATCCGATATTAAAATTCTTGACGCGTTGGACCTTTTGACACATCGGGGCACGAGTCAAGAGATCCAATATGGGTCAAGAGGTCCAACGCGTCAAGAGATCCACGGCGAATCAAGAGGTCCGACGCGTCATTAGGTCCAACGCGTCAAGAGGTCCAATATTGGACCTCTTGACTCGTTGGACCTCTTGACGTGTTGGACCTCTTGACTCGGAATCCTGATAAGAGGGGAGCTCCCTCTTGCCCTCTTCTCTGGTGGTCATCGGAACGCTCTTTGGATGACGTCACGTGCAAGCCATGCCAAATTTAGGGTCAATAAAATAAAAGTTTTTGCTCAGATATTCCGCACCCGGTGCATAGTCCGCACCTGGTGCTTAGTCGACACGAATATCTTTTCATAGACGGCACACCTTGACAAATGTCTGCTTCCATAGCTCACAAAAAAGCCTGTATTATACATAAATCATCAGCATACTCTTTGATTCACAAACTCCGTTCACGTCTCGTCATAATAAACGATCTTGAAAAACACGCGTAGATAGTCCGCACAGGCTAAAATTTCAACTTTTAAACATGTATTGTCCCGGAAAATAGGGTACTTCTCTCGTTTTGTTTTCGCGGTGATAGACTTTCCTCTTGTGAGGGCTTTGGACTTCCCGCTGTACGGCCTTTGTCGGTTATAAAATATGTCTCCATGGGGCAGATGTCCTGCGGCAAAGCCCCTAAACGAAGACAAGCTAGCTCAATTTAAATGAAGGTTTGTTGTCACTGATTGTTATGACATCACAAGTTAGTTCAAGTCAGTGTAAACGATCAAGGAGAGTTTAATAAAATAAAAGGTAGAGTTTTTGGCGTTTAATCTTTTTAACATTTAGAGAAATAAGTCCTGTTTCTGCATTAACAACATAACTACGATAATGACTAAGCATATTTTTTCTCGTATATTCGTAAAACATATTTAAAGTTGATCATTCTGATATATTTTGCGTCGATTTATATAAAGTAGTTCTTTGGTAAATAATTTGCGAATGTGTCTTTAAAACCTGTTGAAGACTGGTTTTTTACTTTCTTTTGCATTGAAATCTTTTATTGTAATTCTAAATATTAAGTGTGCTTGTCGCCAACCTTTCATAAAGTAAGTAGAACAAATTATCACCACGTTCATGCTTCGGTGTGAAATTGACGACTGTGCAAAGTACCATAGCAAACAAAACCTTGGCAAGCTCTACGCCTCGAAATCACGAGTGGGTTGCACTGACGTCACATCGCGTACTTTGACCACTATCTAAGAGGAGAAGAGGGAACCTGCTTTTGTAATCTTCTGTAATCTTTTGGGAGGAGAATAGTGACGCCTGTGCCAATCCGGGAGGCACAGAAGAGGATCCTGATAAGAGGGGAGCAGCCCCTCTTCTCCTCTTTCCTATTGCTCATCCGAGCTCTCTTTGAATAACGTCACGTGCAACCCACGTATTAGCTGCTGCATGAAAATGTTTAAAACAATTATGACTCGTACTATTATTGCACGATTTGAGTTGGAAACACCCTGAGGTAAATACACCTATTGCATCAAGGAGGCTGCAGGGATTGGTGTTCCACGCGCCGCACGTGCTGGCCTCAGCAGTAGTAACTTTTCTAAAGCAAATACCTAAAACAAATGGGATCTTGCACGCGCGTTTGTCAGCGCTTTATTTTGGTTATTTACTTCGAATTATGGTGCCTGGATCGCGTCTCCGACTGGTGTGTTTACCGCGGCCAAAAAAGTGGTCCCTCGATTTCCGCCTGATGACGTCATAAAAGTGTCATGCTGTCGCCGGTCGCGACCCTGGCGGCGTCCCACCAGCTGTGGTGTATGTGGCAGACGCCTGTTCTGCTGCAGATCGCTCCCCACTGTGACAGTTCACGGAAGCTCAAGCAGCCGGAGTTGGGACGCCTAAAGGGACGCCGTGACGACAGCGACACTCGCGTTCGCTCGAGCTTTTCGCCAGCATTTCTACGGCCAACCGCCAGGATCGCGACAGGCAACAGCATGACACTCGCGTCATTTGTTGCCACATCGGGACCACTTTTGATGTATGGGCGGGATAGGACGCTAAACACACCAGTCAAAGACCCGATCCAGGCACCATACTTCGAATCTTTTCTAAGGGGTAGGCGTGCGCGTTTCGCGTGTGGGACACCGTTCCCTGCATTCTCCTTGATGCTTGAGTAATTTAGCAATAGGTCTATTGCAGCGCGATACGCCAAGAAACCGAGATTGGCAGGCCATCTAAAGTGCCTTAAAATCGTTAGTTTACATGCTGTATTTTTAACATTTATAGCCATACTGCTAAACAATTCATAAGGAAGAGCAGAACAATTATGCTCATTCTGGTGTACGCTTTTGGGGCAATTCAAGCAGGCTGACAACGGATAACAGCACCAGACAACCCACAAACGCTCGTTTCCTCCCATTTTCTTCCTTGCTTCGTCACCGCACCCCCCCCCCTTTCTTTTTTTTTTTCTTGTTTTTTTTTTGTTTGTACGGACTTGTGCATTGTTGACGAAATGACGTGCGATATGATTATTTTTCGTTTTGACGTAGTGATTATAATGTCAAGTTTGCCATATATTGCATATATGCAAGCGTGCGAAGGCACAGACACGCATTACTTTGGCGTGCCAAGAAAGCTTTGATCACGCCGCGAGAAAGGCGAAACTTGCTTTCGACGAGTTGTGCCTCTTTCCTGCGGCACTGCGCTTTCATAAAAATTTCCCCGTGTTCTCAATGGCAATTCTCACCGCTTACATAGGGTTTTAAAAAACTTCTTCGGCGAATGACGACGAAAGAGTAGAAAACCTGCCTTCAGCACGCTACCGCCAGGCTCTGCAACGCTAGCGAAAACGAGATGCAATATGGCCGTCCGGTGGCCGCCTTTGCGCTGCCGCTGTAGTTCTGCAGCGACCAAGCGGTGAAGCGCCGTGACTCTGAACTCCAACCACAGAGGCTCCGACGCTCAATTAATTTCAAATCTTCCGCCTCGACGACTTTAGGAAGAAAAAAACAAAAGAAAAGCAAAACGAAGACGAATGGTCAAAATTCCGGAAATGACGAAACCGGACAAGGACGCAAGACGCAAGGACGTCGAAAGAAAACAACAAAAACGTTAGCCATGGCGTTGCCGCAGCACCAGCTGGAAATGCGTGCGCGCGTTCAAACGTTCCATATATCAGAGCATGGAGATGAATCTGTTCTAAAATAGGCTAAATGATCGGTTAGAGCACACGGCCCAGCCCAGTGACAAGTCCATGCTTCGCGTACTACGTCGCACTGCAAAAGTAAGTGAAAGCTACGAGCTACCGGCCGGCATAGCAATGTTTACAATGTAAACATCGGATATCCTGTAAACTTTACATGATGTGCGATCCGCCTATCAGCAAGTTGTTCACTTTGAGGCTCGTGCCCGAAGATCGTACATTATTTTATTCAGACACATTTGGTCGTAGTCAATTTGCGCGTAGTCATCGTGTTATTAACCAGAGATTACCGAAAGTTAACAGGTGCGTTTCTCAAACTCTGGGATTAATTGGGTTAGACAGTGGGAATTTTGTCCTCCCACTGGATGTCTGATGTCTCCACTGTACTTAGGTCAGTATGTAGCAATGGACCTTTTCCACATACCGACGGCACCAGGCGGTTGCTGCACGAACTAAAAATCGAGGAAGTAACCTACCTGCGCTACCAATCGATAATGGCAGCTACGCTACCAGTTTCTTCGCTCTCTGAGCAGCGGCGCCTGCCCAACGCGACTTTAAAGAGGGGCATCCGTGGCGTCCACCCAAACGTCGTGTTTTCCTTTCCGTCGACGTTCTTTTTTTGTGTAACACAATTATATATATGCTGCAGTTACGTGTTCTACTCGCTGATATACAGCCTCCTTCCGAATTTCCTCGATTTTTCGTTCCGACTTCCGCCGCTTGGCATCGGGCGCTCGCGCGTGCGCAGAACGCTTCTCGGAAAAGGTCCATTACGGTACTACTGCAAGCCCGGGATCTTTAACGTTCGTCACGCAGTAGTGTTGCTCGACCGCACGCCAGTGTAGGACGCTGATCCAACTACTCTGCCAGAAACACTACGCTAGTCATTATTGCGTACGCCTAAACCACTACCATAGTAATTTCGGCGTACGCGAAAGCAACTGCGGTAGTTGTTTTTGTCCGGGTACCCTAAAATCACTACCCCGCCGACGTCACTACACACACTCCGTAAAAAGCAACCGATGACAGACGCGAAACGCAGAACAACTTTACGGCTTTAAGAAATTCTAGAGTAGTTCACATAAACATGTTTTTCAATCATTTCATCTCGCATTTACACAAGGAGCAGCGGTAGTGGTTATTGCGAACTCCCAATCACCACGGTGGTTGTTTTGGAATATGTGATAAGCTCTGCATTTACACAAGGAGCAGACTCGAGTCTGCTACTTTGGTAAATGTGGTGCTTATTACATACTCCAAAACAACCACCGTGGTGATTGGGCGTTCGCAATAACCACTACCGGAGTGATAATAGTTTCGGCGTACTACACCTGTACAATGCTCATATCCAGATCAAAACGGACAGGGGTGGGGTTGAACCCAGCATGCCTGGGTTCGTATTCACGACGATAAAATGATTTTATCGCGCAGTTCACATATATCACTTTTGCAATATCCCGTGAGATGTTTCGGTACAGTTGACTTTCACGTGACCGTTTTCTTGGTTGCAGGAATGGGCAGCGCTGCAGAGTACCCCAAGTGTTTCTTCCTTTTCATGTTCATTCTGTTCAGAGTCGGCGGTTCTTTTTTTGTGAGGACCTCTTTTGTGCCGGACGAATACTGGCAGTCCCTGGAAGTGGCACACAAATTCGTCTTTGGGTGCGTATGCTCTTTGGCTATGGCTTCTGACAGCTCAAGAAAGACAGGCCCTGCCCAAGCCATATCTCATAATTGCTAACCAACAAAGCTGTGTGCGGCATTGAAGGGGAGATGCAACAATTTTTGTACTTCCAGTAAATACCGCTTAGAATTATTCCTCGACATTCATATCCTATGTAACACGCGTTCGATTTTTTCTCCATGCAATGACAGTCGCAAAAAAAAATATTGGATAAAAACCAGCAGCGTTCATCCCCTCAACTCACACCCAGAACAAACAGTCACTAGATTTGGAGCCTATTATGCTTATCACAGCCATGGCGCCGGGGTTGGTAAAACACAGGGCACACGCCGAGTACCACTCATTCTTAAAGGAATACTGAAATGGAAATAGAAATGTACCTCTCACGTTCAAAAACAACTTCAAGGGTGACTCTGGTCAAAAGTCGAACCAAAGTGAGTGACTGATATTGATTTGCTGAGACTAAATACGAGCATTGCCAAAATATTACACTAATGGGAGACCGCGATCCACTCTAAAACTGGTATTAAAAATGCTACCACCAGCTTTTCAGTGAGCATTCAGCGGGTTGGCTGTTTGTCAAGCAACCTTGTGCTCTGATGTCATCTTCGTTTTCAAGGATGTTTCTTGTTTGTATTGCCACTTTCGCCGCGTTTTTCTGCTGCACTTTCAGCCATCCCAGCAAATGATTCCAGCTTGTTATGTTATGTTTCAGCGCTTTGTAAGTGCTTTGTGGCAATCATCTACAAAAATGATTGACTCTCTGCTCGCTCAAGTGCATCGTGGTGCCAAAAGTGGCATTTACTGGCAGCCATAGTTTTGTCTTTTCCTGCTCAGCGTGACCTTCCACAACGCCTCTGCAAGGTGCTTTGCACACCACCAAGATTGTAGTTCTTCTCAGAAGAAAAGGGGGAGCTTGCCCTGAGCCTGTGTTCATCGTGGCAAACTCGCTTTTCGACCGGCAACTTCTTGAATGTGTAGTAATATCTGCTACAGGGGTTTGATATCTGCAAAGTAAAACAGTAAAACAGCCGTAGCATCTTACCTGGCTGATCAGAACTACTCTTTCGACTACACCGTTCATACTTTTTGCAGTACTGCAATACAAACTTTGCATCGCACGATGACCATGCAGCTGATCACAAGGGTTGCCATCATGCTCGAGTTGGTAGTTTCGGTTTCGCCGTAGACCTTCGAAACAAAACTTTAAGTACAAAACTACACAAAGCATCAAAAAAGCAAACAAAAAAAAACGGACATTTTGTAATTCAGGGACACATCCTTCACTAAAAACCTTCGTAACCCTAAAATGGAGAAAATGTACAAGAATTACCCTCTTAACATGATAAAAAAAAACTGCAAACGATGATCACACGTTTGTATTTTGAACAGATGGCTTTATCTTTTGTTCCGAATGGTCGATTCCAGCAATCGCTCGAAAAGCAACCGTCGAAGAGGACAATGCATCTCGGGAGATCCGAGATGCATGGTTGTGAGTTTTGCCACTTGCTGGCGTAACAACCTGGTTCTTTGACCGTTACAACCTGGCTCTTTGAGAGGCCCCGTTGCTGGTTTGGCAATGCCAATGGAGGCAAAAAAGTGAGCAACCTCTGCTTCAAACCCTTCTCTCCCTGCAGGAGTTAAATAGACGCGGGAGAGGAAGGAAATTCGGTTCAACCAAGGTCGGCAGGGATCGCGCGCGCGCAGCTTGCCGCTCTGTTTTTGCGGAGCAGCGCTTTTATGGGAAGTTTGACATAGTGACATTCAGGAACATCTGCTGGTGCAATCTGGTAATCGGTTTATTCGTTGTAAATATTGTCTCGGTGTCTTTTTGAACAAAACGTTTGCGTCCCTTTGGTGTGGCCAGAACATGGCTGACGTTTATAAAATTGGCACTAGAATTTTGTTGCATTACCCCTTCAAAGGGGTGATGCAACAATTTTACCTTCGAAAGAATTTGCAGTTTTAAATTTTTACATTGTCTGTCTTACCAAAAGGAATGGGAAAACCGCCTTGTTCTTTCGAAATATCGCGATTTCGTTGCGTAATAGCAAAGAAAAGAACGGGAATATTTTACGATTTGCAGCCGCTGGGTAGCGGCCAGGCGTGACGCACAAGGGGTATAATGTAATAAGTTGGCAAGATGGGCCATTATGTGCTCAACCTAATACTATATTTGATAAATATTGTCGTTTCAACATGAGTCAATACGTCAGAAACTCCATATCATCGACAAAGTTGTGCTGTTCTGGTGGCGCCATCTGCCTGAGGTGAAAAAAGACTATTCTTCCCTTGAGCCTCACCTTGTACTACTATGTCAGTTGAACTTCCTTGCAGAAAGACAAGCCCTTTGCTCTCCCCCTCTCCAAATCGCTCTCACCAACCTTCAAGTAGAGTCAGGGGCTCTGAAAGAGAACCCAACCCTCTTGCGCGCCACTGTGCACGTGACTCGGAAGACAGTGTACAAGTTGAGGGTGGTTTGGAGGCGCCCGAAACGTCACTTGTTTGACCTTTGTTTTCTGAACTAAAGCACGTAGGCAAATTTTCTTTTTTTTTAGTTCTTTAATCCATACATGACAGGGAACAACTACCACATTTATTCGACTGAAGTCCAAACATTGTTGCACGGCCCCTTTAAGGTTGGGCCATTCCCGTCATCTCGGCTATTGTTTTGTTTCAACAAAAAAACTAAAACTAGCGAAGCATCAGAGCTGTCTAACTGACCTTATATGAAATTAGGGTCATCAACAGCCCTTCCTCCCCCTGCATACCGCCGAAGGCAGCTTTTCTGGTGGGTCGAAAGCCATTGATATTTGAAACCTGTTTTCGCAGGTACGGCTACCTGACCTGGGAATGGAAGCACGCCATTCGTAGCTCCATCTACCCAATGTTCATCTCTGCCCAGTACACGCTGCTCAAGTTTCTCAAGATCGACACTGTTTTCATGGTGGTACGTTGGACGACCTCATCTATAATAATAGTAATGCTTTATTTGATTCGTGCCCCAGAACAACTAATAGGTTACAATGTGGTGGCACATAAAATATAATACAAAAAAAAAAATCCATAAAGATGTTTGCCACGGTTACAAAATATGGTGCGGGTCAGTAGCCGAAAAGATATATATCATGCTCTCGTTTAAAAGTAAAAAAATCTGCAAGCACTTTTTGATTTGTAGATGGTTGAGCGTGTTGGTTATTAACAACAGACAAGACAGGTTATTAACCTGTCTTGTCTGTTTGTCTTCAATGTCCCTCTTTCCTTATCATAAACTTCTTGATTGTTGTTCTTTCACACCAGTCATTGAATTGCCTTCTATTCCATTAGAAAAGATCCTGCGGCTGTTCTACAGGGTGCTTCCGTGTTCTATTTAGGAGTAAAGAGATTTGTGTATTTAAACTAACGAACTTGGTGTGATGAAACATTTCCCAAAGGTTTCTTTAGCTTTTATCATACTTAATCTTTCAGACTGCAGGATTTGGGGAAAAAAAATTTAATCATAAAAAACTTTGTTCTTTTTATTCACAGGGAGGAAAATGGCAGGGGTTGACACAGCTGCTATACTCACAGATGGCACAACATAAAGCGAAAACGTGCTGCTCTGGGTTGCGAGTACCCGAAAAAAGAGTCAGCAGATCCGAGCCTGTGCGGTACCATTTGTGAGGAGCGGCATCAACCGGACAATTTTTGCACTTTTCCTCTCTCTGCATAGGGAAAAACAAGCTTTTCCTGGCCTAAAAGCCCCACTCATAAAACTTGAGTCTGTTAACCTAAAGACACCTTTGTTAAAAGTTTCAATGCACTTTGTTTATTCATTTATTTAATATGAATGTTCGTGCGCCCGAAGGGCGCTTGGAAACACGCTTTCACATCTAGAGAACTATAGTATGACATTGAAGCCTCGATGACATAGACAGCTAAAGCGCACTTAATACCGCCATAACTAAAGTTATGGCGGCGTCATGCATGCGCCGAACGCTTGGTGAGATTGGTCTATTGTCCGGCAGACGTTATGGATTTCCAAACTGTACAAACGTTCGATGATGCTTACTTTTCATGGGAAACGGCTCTTGCGTCTGCCTCTTCTCAGAGGACATGCTGCGCTGTTTCTGTAGATCATTGCTAGCCGTCACACATGGTGTGCTGTGTCTTCACGTCAAATGTTTTCCCATGTTAGATCCTTTGGTGTGGTACTGACATAGCTAACCCTTTGAGTGCTAGGTTCCCCCCCCATGCTGAACTCTCGTCTCAGCGACACTGTAGCATGCTTTGTGAAGAATGTTTATTTATCAAAGATACATAGTTCTATGTGTGGGCGAAAAATCTTCATGCCTCCAAACTAACACAAGTTTCCTAGTAGTGTAGTTATCGAGACATGGCACTTTGCACTGGGGTCCCTCTTTTGAGTGACCTTACTCTGCCTTTTGTTTTAATTCGAAACTGTAACTTCCTGGTTTTCACAGTCGTCGAATAGACCTCATTCGTAATTTCTAGATATCAGTGTTCGCCTTACAGCCAGAGGTTCAACGACAGATTTGCCATTCTATAACAACAAAGGAGCATACCGAAGCAAAAGTCGCCTAAACGGACGTTTTCACATGCCATAAAAAAGTGACACTGCAAGATAAAACATTGTTTCTATTGCTTGCTCATACATGGTGCTACACACAAAAAAATATTACAGCTCAGTTACGAAAAGCAGGGAGCAAACGGAAACCACATGGGAGCCCACATCAGGGCGTCACGTGATGACGTGTCTTGTGACGCTCAGTGGATAAATTTTCCCGTTAAAATTAGCGGATAAATTTTTCGTGTTAGACTCGACGACAAATTTTTTGTCAGAAGATTTTATTGTTAAATATGGTGGCAGAATTTCCCGCCAAATTTAGCGGGAAAATGTCCGCATGCCATGTGATTGAATGTAAATTGTTACTAGATTAAAGGATACATGCAAAGGAAAAAAACATTTTTTTAACAGCCTAGATGGAAAAAGAATGCTATAAAACGAATTTCCAACGAAGAAAAAAAAATTTAGAGCTATATTTACAGCACAATACGAATTTGTAGTTGGCGCCCGCCTCACGTAGTACACCTGTGCGCCGTCGCGCGGCACACAGATGTACTGCGTGAGGACTTTGAGGTGCTGCTGCTGCCTCAAAGTCACGCCGCTGCTGCACGCTGAGTGTGGTGTGCCGCTGTTTAGGCGCATTTCTCCACGCCGCCGTCGCTGCCGCCACGCAAGTTCGTCTGCTACGCGGCGCCGCCGCCGTTATTTGGCCGGTGCACAGGTCTATCGCGTCTTTTTGCGCTTTTCCAGGAGCTTCCTTTGGGCTCTAAAAGTTGCTTATTAATCTTCGTTTTTTCTTGCACTTGAAACAAAGATGAATAAGTAACGTTTCGAAACCATAGGAAGCTTCCGAAAGAGCACAAGTACCACGGGACAAATAGCGGCCAGTCACGTGACAATTAACGGCCAACTACAAATTCGTATAGCGCCATAAATAAATAGCACTAAAAATTTTATTTTTCATTGTAAATTCGTTTTATGACTTCCTTTTTTCAACCAAGCTGTTTTAAAAAAAGTATTTTTATTTTGCGTGTCCTTTAATGTCAGTTAGCAAGCTTCCTAGAATCCGGGGCACCTTTTTGTGATGCTTCCGTTCAGTGGCGCTTGCTACGCTACTAACCGAACCCAACTGGATGGAAGCGGTGGAACCGGCGGGATGTTGGATGCACATTGTTTGCTGTGGGAAGCGATTCTATTTTGTTTTTTTATAGCGAACACAAAGTTTGTGCAAAAAGAGCGTTGTTCAAAAACGGTCCTTCTTCGTTGCCCGTGGGGCAGCACCGGCGGTGGCACAAGGATTGCTATCCGCCCGTACCTGCTTGGCAGCAGGCAACCGAGAATACCCGTTTTCGAATAACGCTCTTTCTTAGAGCTTGCCAATTGGTAGATCTAAAGGGCTACCCAAACAGGACGCATTTGCTGTACCGGAATTGGAGGTGTTTCTTCAATTCTGGTCCGCTTTGACCCTTTTTTTTTTGTCAGGGGAAAGCTTTTCTTCATTCCCGTTTTTGGACGGAGGCTCAGAGCGTGCCTGTCACGTGGGCGCGTATGGCCGCTCGCACGCTCTGCTGGCTGTTGTCGAGGCCTCCGCTGTTGTTGTCGATCCCCAGCCTCCCAAAAACAAGAAATAGGAGGAGAGGAACGCCGTGCTGTTTGCGGGGTTAATGTACTCGCGCCGAAAGTGTTTGCGCATGCCGCAACCTCCATGGTTTTTTTTGAGAAGCGTACCCTTTTTTTTGCCGCGACGGCATTTGCTGTATCCTGTTTGTACGGCCCTTTAGCAGCATTGGCGTAGTTTGTGCTCTGCAGAGTGTGGAGTAGAGTACGCGGCGCCTCGACCGTTGCCGCAGTTTGTTCGCACGACACCGTGGTGGCCGGACCGCGCCTTTGAGTGGTATGTTCACCGCACCCTAAAAAGTGATCCCTCGATTTTCGCTGGACGATACCCTGGAAGTGTCGCGCTGTGGTCGGGCGCGATTCTGGCGGTGTCGCGGCGGCGGTAGCAGACGTGGTGGACACCCGCTTTGCTGTAGATTACTGTATAGCTCGACGGCCGACGGAAGCTTCGGCAGCCGGAAGTTGGGACGCCAAGACAACGGCGATGCTCGCGTTTGTTTGTACTTTTACGGCGAGGCTGTTATGCGCTAGGATCTGGGAAAGAATTTGTACGCGGATGTTGACATTGTTGACAGAAAACTCCCCATTGGTCGTGGCAAGTATGAATAAATAAAAACAAAAAGAGGGGGCAACCAGCTTGAGTCAGCCTTCCTTTGCATTATTAGATAGTGAGGTCTTGATCCCTTGTTGTCATCTCTAGGCATCGTCCTCGAGGTTTTCCTAGAAGGCGTCAAAGAGGTCGTCCTAGGCCTCGTCCTCGAGGTAGTCCCAGAAGTCGTTCTTGAGGTCGTCCCAGAGGTTGTCTTCGAGGTCGTTCTAGAAGTCGTCCTAGAAGTCGTGCTTGAGGTCGTCCTAGAAGTCTTTCTTGAGATCGTCCTAGACGTCGTTTTCTAGGCGTCGTCCTCGAGGTTGTCCTAGGAGTCGTCGTTAAGGTTGTCCTCGAGGTCTTCCTAGACGTCGTCCTCTAAACATCGTCCTAGGCGTCGTAAAGATAACAGCTTTGCTGGTCCCACATCTACATGAAATGGAAGGGCTTTACAATTTTTTTCCGGGATTTCTAGTCTGCCAGGATTGTGAAATTCAACAGCATTACACATTGGCTTCTCTGACGTCATTTGTTGCCACTTTGAGACTGCTTTTGACGCATGGGCAGGAGGGCCGCTAAACGCGCTGGTCGAAGACGCGCACTTGGCACTGTACGGTGTGCAGCAAGGAACTGGGAAGCTGTTTCCATCGTTTTGCACACGAAAACGCGCAGACCATGTTGCCACGGCTGGTGCAAGCCCTGCTGTCGGCCCTGGGGGACTGCTGGACGGTGGAGCTTTCTCGGAGGTTGTTTGGCCAGGAGAGTTCGTGCTGGACGGCCTTCTCCCTGCTCTGCTCCTGGTTTCTGCACTACACGGCCTCCCGGACCCTCACCAATGTGGCAGAGCAGGTGGCCACCGCCGGCGCCCTCGCCCTCTACCCCTGGAGGGGACAGAAGCAGCCCAGGTGGGCCCCCGTTGCTCTCTGGGGTCACTGTGACGTCCATTTGTTGCTGAGTGCTGATTGTTCAGCGAGTTGTTATTGTATGTGAGAAAACATGATTGCGCTTTCAGACAAGGACAGCGCTCTGTGGTGTTTGTTCTTCCTCTCTCCCTGTCTCAAAGGGCAATCATGTTTTCTCATGTTTGTTGCTGTTCTTACTTGAAAATGTAAGGTGGAGAGACCTGGAATTTATAAATCAGAATGCGTCATATGGCCGGTCTTCAGTCACTTCCTTTAACCAACATCTAGATAAGAAGGCCGTAGTGCTGAATCTTGAGCGTCGCCCTGAGGAGGGTATTGCACTAATTGCACATGTGTGCTATGTCAACTTCCGACCGATCACTCGTGTCCTCACTAATTAAGTGATTAGCCAAATGCTTACACAACACTCGTGTCTTGTGTTTGCCTCCTTAGGGTCAAGTCGAAAAAATTTAGAACCACAATGAAGATTGATTGGTCAAGCTCGGGGTTGGGTGTGAAAGGGGCTCTGCAACTAGATGTCACATCACCAATAAATTTAACGTGACAGTTGGATACCACATCACAGACGTTCATGAACTACACATGTTTGAAAGTTGAAATTTTACGTGGTGTGAACTATCTACAGGTACAGACTACACAGTAATTTTGCTTTCAAGATTGTTCATGTGATGAGACGTGACGATGTGTGTGAATGAAAAAGTATGTTTATGTGTGATACAAGCTTCTTTGTAAGTAAAGAAAGCAGGCATTTTCAAGGTGTGCTGTGTACAAGAAGATTTTTGTGCAGACTAACTAAGCAAAAAACTTATTTTTGACCCCGAATTTGCTTCTGCAGGCTATAAACCAGATACGGACTATAACCAATACTATAATTGCCATTTCACCGAGAATGAGGAACTTTTTTCCGAAAGAAAAACAGATATATGGCATTTTTTTTATAAAAATATTTGACCTTGGGAACTAGAAAGGAGGTGACTGCCCCTCCTTAAAAGAGTCACTGGCCTTCTTACGTAGGTGGTGCTGTTCTAACACTCTTGTAACGGAAGAGAGTCACACTTGTGCTGCTTGAAGAGGTGGCTCTGAGATCGTCATCTACGGGCTCTAGGTATCAAAAAAAAAAAATGAAGCTTATATTGATACGCTTCCGATTTCCCTATTAAAAACAGGATCAAAGATTGCAACACTATCCGGGTCTTCATGGCTGAATAATTGCCGAGCTTTAAAACATCGCAGATTTAAAAGCGACCGTTTTAGATTATCTTTCTTCCCTTGGGCAATTCGAGAATTAGTAATTTAACAAATGACATTCTGACTCAAATTTTTATAACTTTGTAAGATTACACTTTAAATCGTTCTTACTTTGGTATACTGCCATTTTTCCTTGTTTTGTATTTTCAGTGGAGCTGGTAGTATTTCCGAATCAATAAATAACACACTTTTTTCTGTGATTCGGCGCAGAAATCAGTGGGTGCCGTCAAATCTGCAGCAGCCAATCGCAAGCAATCACTTCCCGCACATAAATCGCACCTACTCAAAAATCAGTCTACCGTTGGTCAGTCCCCCTTGCTGCCTGGGACTTGCATACAGCGACCGATTCCAGACGTAACAAAATTTTCGTGTGTGTTCTTAAAACTACTTGTAGTCACAAATTCGGAGTAGCTTACTCGGAGTGGAGTAATAAAACGAAAATGCCCCCTTACCAATTGTAGCACACCTGGCAGCAGCTTTTGACCCTTTACCAAACTTTGTCCGAAGTTTTGTGAACAACGGCATATTGAGGGACCCTGGTCAAATCAAATTATTTGGCTAATCCCTATTCAATTTGAATGAAAACTCCAATATTTGTCAGCCCTAGTTAAAACCGGAAAGTCTTCAGCCTAGGTATAACTCATTTCACATTAAAAGGTTTGGTGGGTCAGGATTTCGTATCAGTCTCTGTGTGGGTCCGCAGCACTTCGTGGGGCTACCTGTGGCCAGTTGGACTGGCGGTGATGATCCGGCCGACCGCCCTGGCGCTGTGGTTACCGCTCGTACTGCTGCACTTCGCCAAGGAGTCACACTCCAGGACCTACCTTTTCAAGAGGCTCCTGTTCACCAGGTGAGGCCAGACAAATCACTCGTGCGGGCATCACTGAATAAGCGACACCACAGTCCTTAGATTACCTGGGGTGCGATTGTGACCAAGGCGAGAGCGTTTCCAGCTGCTGATTGGGCGTGGCAGCACGGCTTGCACGCAATCATCCAATATTGCAGGCAATATTTTGGTGAGAACGGCTGACCAACATACAAATAGTGAGAGAGGTCTCGCAGCCTCTGATCTGCTTGTCCTTAGTACTTTTTCATCCAGCGATTGATGGATTTTTTGCAATATGAAAAAAATTTTTGCTTTATATTATTTTGTATATAACAAAAAGCATCCTTCTGTTCTCTATCCAATGCCCTTTTTATCTTCCTTCTTCTTCCATCTTCTTTTTTTTTTTGTCTTTCTGTTACCTTGCTTCTTTTTTCTTGTAAATAAAATGCCAGTTGTCAGTTAGCGCTCTTTCCTGTCTTCTCTTTCTTCCTTCTGTTGTCCTTGCGCTATTTTCTAGTGATGTTTACCCAACTAACCCACCGGATAATTTTAACGCTTCAGTTCCATTGACTGGCGCGCGGAGACAGGGTTCCCATTGGCCACTGCGCTCGTCAGTTTCCACGACCGCTCACCCCATGGCGCTGCGTGTCCATCAGCGCGCCATTAACACAAAGCGTCCAAGGTCGGCGTGTTTAGGGAGGCACACGCACTGACTGGCGACGAAAAGTATGCAGCAGACCAGGGACCCCAGAACCGGGGGGGCAATGGGGCTTGAGCACCCGCTGACATTTTCCGGGGGGTGCTGGGCAATATGCTGAGCCCCCGTGCGTTTGGCTCGAGGCGTACTGAACAATGCCTGCACACCCCTCCCCCCTCCATTCTGTGTTCCCGTTGTTGCTCAGCTCCGCCAAGCCACATACTTGGTTAAGGGCAAGCACGTGGCTCTGTTTTTGTTACGGGTGGCTACCCACCGCATCACGGCACAACATTCGCCCACAAAATTCCAGAAACAAAAACAAAAAAACAAAGTAAAGCAAAGCGCCAGTAAACCGCGGAAGACGCTGCAGCTCCAAAAAAATAGAGGCAGCATAGCAGCACAGTCAGGGACTGGGGCCCTCCCGTATCTCCACTCAAGGGTTGGCCATGCGGGAAAATGTGCAGCGCACTGTTTTTGTCCACCCAACCAGCCGGCTTCTTCGTTTTGCTTCTATTTTGGCGCTTGGGCAGTGACGTTTCCCAAAAAAAGTACAAAAATCTTTTCCTATCTATTTTTTTTTTCAACTGCGTTTTTGTTGTTGTGTTTGTTGTTGTTTCGGCGGCCTGAGTAACCACGAAGTTCAAGTAATTCCTTCCATGTTGAGAGCCGATTGCGGGGAGACGGTCTGCACAAGAAGAAAGCCCTTCTTGAACGGGGAACTGCCTACAGATGTAGCGAGTTGAGGGGAAAAAGTTTCCCAAACTCCCAAGGCAAGAGGAGGCCTTAGCAAGCGACACAGGTTGTAAGGGGAGACATCGCACTGCAGTCTATGTTGAAGCACTGCTACCACGGTGGTCATCGGAGGCATCAAAGAATCGCGGCATTGTCGCTTGTATTTCTGTGTCTGGTTTCCAAAACACCATTTGGTTCTTGCCGAGCCAGCCTGCTATGTGCAGGCGGGCGCGCTATTATACACCCAGACACTTTCACACTATTTTTAAAGACGACCATAAAAACTGGAAACATGTTGAAGCAAAAAAAAAGGCATCGCCAGTGAAGCTGCTGGAACGAGAGGGATGCTTTTTTCCTCGTCTCTAGCAGCTCATCGCTTCCTCTTCCCCAGCCTTCCTTCTCCTTGTCCTGTCATTCCACTGAAACTGCAGTTGTAGATCTGTCACTGAAATCCGCGGACGGTTTCTTTGGACATCTGAACATCAAACGATGTTGCTTTTTTTAACAAATGCAACGCTAAAAAAGAAAAACAAAAAAAGCAGTATCTAAAGTTTTACACTTTTAATCATTATCGCGACCAAAAGAACGCTCCTTGATACGTGGTCGCGGGGACCCAAGAAATTGGCATTTTGTCGGGGAGCAGCCACCGGAAATATCCAAAAATATTGGCACGGCAGCAGCGGACCATATCGTACCTAGAGTCACCCAGAATTTACGAAAATCTGGTAGGTTTAGTTTCAATTTTGTGTGTGTGCATGCATAGCAAAGCAAGAGGGGATTGTGAGATCTCAAGGCGCATGAACTGCATTGCAGGGAGTCCTTGAATTTTGCGTGTAAACACCAAATAATATTTTAAGCCACTGTGGCGTTAATTCTGGCAAAATGAAGGCAATGTTATATATTAATTATTTTATTTTTATTCCACCCATTTTTTTCAGTCATAATAAATGCCTCAGTTGCCCCAAAAAGTATTTGATAGTTTCGTGAAGAAGAGATTCTGCGGAAATTTACCCATAAAAAAATGCTTCTTTCCTTTCACTAAAAAAATTGGTCTTCATTCTTTTAAAAAAAAAAAAATGAATCCACCATTTTTGGGCACCTCTGTACTAAATCCTAGCACGCTACATTAACAAGCCAATTTGCGCAGTCACTTCAAATTCAAAGGGCTAACGAAACATTGTATGTGAACTCCCGGTAAAGTATGTCAGGTCCCCTGACCGTTTTTGGTGGGCATTTGGTCTTAAAAGTCAAATTTGGGGGGAGTTTTACATGTCAAACCAACCACGGGCATCTGGCACGCCCCAGTGCAGGAATGAGGATTAATTTGGACCACCTGGGGATCTTTTGACGTGCAACCAAAAGCTCGGGCGCCTTCTCTGCAATAAGCCTCCGTCAGATTGCGGGAATCGGAACCCGCCACCCGGGGATCCGTAGGCCAGTGCTTTGCCTCGGAGCCACTGAGACGGCTAGCTTTTGGATTAAATTTCCAAAAGCATTGCATTGTAGTGACGTTTTCTAAAGAAAGTTTCATTTCTCTTAACGTATAAAAATAATTGTGTGTGTCAACATTTCATTGCTTTGTGACGGGAATTTTGGATTAATGTAGGGACACATGGTATACGAAATGATAATTAACCTTCTATAAACAGTGAAATCTTCGTAATAACTGTTTTTTTTTCAATTTTAATTCCCCCTTCCCCCCCCCCCCACAGACACACACACACACACACACACTTCACCCTTCATTTCGACCGCTAGCCCCCCCTCGTAAAATACACTTCCGGGGTTGCTTCAGCAGACGACAAAGGGAGCAGACAAGCGGCTTGCATGCTTTCACATTCACCACTCATAAGAATTGCTTAAGTGTACCTCGAGCTTGATCTGGATGAGCATCGTACCGGCGTGCGGTCGTGTATCGCTACTGCGTGAGCACGTTAAAGACCCTAGGTTAGCAGTCATACTGCACTGGCAAAATTGCTCATCTACAGTGTAAACCAGTGTCGCCCCTACTGGCAGACAAACCTTACGCTGTCTAAATTGCTCAAACGTCCAATTTGACAATTTGACCTCAAGCTTTTTTCTCACGACTTTCTCAGTTCTCAATTGATGAGCAGTTTTTTCGCGCCATGCTCCAGCCGTCTTGCTACATGTAAAAGGAAGGATTGTGGCTAGCCGATCTCTCAGAGGTACCAAAAAAAAAGTATGACAAGGTCTATCTTTCTGCCTGCGCATCGATGCTTGCGTCGTCTCCGGGACTTGGCCTAGGCTAGGCCTAGTGCTCCAAAGCTTGGTTAACGAGTGTCTAGCTCCTTAAACTTTTGTTTGCTCGGCATGCGTCTGCTCGAATAAAGTCGACTACCCTCTCATTTTGCACACTTTACGACCTTTTGCTGCGAAACACTCGACAGAGCCATACTATGGGCATTTCTCGCCAGACAGCACCATACTATGGGCATTTCTCGCAAGTCGAAATGCGCGTAAAACAGTATGTGCGATCTAGCGATTGTGTCAACTATACTGATTATACCGACTTGTGGTCGATATAAACTGACTTTTAGTCGGTTTATACTGAGGACGACGAACAAAGTCCTGTTGCAGAGTTGGCAACAGAGTGCTCCCAACATGGCAGAAAGGTTTTGTCTGACCTTAATTCCCTGTAGCAAATCTGATGGCTCACTGGTGTATCTCTTCTATAGGGTCATATATGTTTTCTTTATCTGGAGGGGTCTCCAGTTGTATTACTTTCACATTCAAGTATAGGCCATCCATATGAATCCTATGTTTCCTCTGGCAAAATTTGGATGCTTGCTGGCTGGCCTCAAAATTGGTTCAACACATCACTAGGCACGGCTGAACTGGTAACCAAAATAATAGGTCAAAATATTTTTTCTGTAAAGTTTTTGCATTTTTAGACTTAATCCGCATAATTTTTCTTTCTTAAACTGAAAGGTTTAATTGGCCACACTGAAATGTGACTACAGGTGTTGTATTGGGGCAAAGATTTGGATAGTGGAACTTGTTTCATTCGAGTGTAATGGTGTGAAATAATTATACAGGTGCAAATAGTGGAATTTGAGTTGAAAGTGAATTCGAAGCGAATAGTGATTTCGGCTGAATATTTTCTATTTGAATATTGAATAATTTCTCCAAACTTTTTACTACTGCTGCATCATGCTTACACGAAAACCCAGCTGGACTCATGATGGTTGTTTCCAGTGTTGTCACTGAGGGGGGGGGGGGGGGGGGGGGGGGTGGCGGGCCATTGCCCTGTGTGCTGCTGACCCTGTGATGCCACTGGTTGTTCCACTTGCTCATTTCTAATATATGTTATTTTTAATCAAACTATAGTTATGGGCTGTGGCCTTAGAAAGTCCAATGTCCACATTGGGATGGCACGTAAACGACGGGTTTGACACAAGATTAAACCTATAGAGATTCCCAGCTACTATACCTAATCGAATCTGTGAATATACTTTCTTCAATTTCGAGTTTGAAAAGAGCACAATCACGAGTTATGAACACTGGTTGTCTGGACATCTGTGTTTAACATTTCATTTCATTTCATTTATTATATTTCTCAGGGCCCAAAGGCATT